CACAAAATTAATTATTACTCTACCCTTAACTGGTTTAGTGGTGGACTTGGTAGTGTTAGGCTAATGGTTGGACTGGATGATCTTGAAGGTCTTTTCCAACCTAAATGATTCTATGATCTCTCCTTCTGAAGCCCTGAAGTACTCCTTCCTCACTTACCTCAAGACTTGAAAATACCACTGGTGATACACGTAGAATTTGTTTTATTATTTTCAATAAATAATATATTTTCTAAAATTAAAGCATATTATGAGAGCCCCCTTATATTTGCTATTACTTTTCTAAGGATGATTCTTTTAAGAATCCCAAAGTTAACAAAAAGAAAAAATAGTAGCATGCATCAGAACAAATAACTTCCAATCATTTCTTAAAATTAACTTGAGTTGAACAGCAGGATTTTCTCAATACTTTTTGGAGCATTGAGAATACTGTAAGAGCTGTGTTACTCACTGAGACACTGCATGATTACAAATTAGGTCACAGTCATACGATATCCAGTTATACAATTTGTACATTTAAGAAAGCTGTATTTATAACTGTAATACATTTCAGCTTTCTTTAACCAACTTTACAAGCCTGAAACAAAAGAAAGCCAGTGGTATGTGACTAACTCTCTTTCAGCAGATATCAGCGATACTGAGAGTTCAGTGAACAAAAGCTTGAGTTAAGCATATTTCATAACAATAAAAGAAATATATTTGTATATATGGAATATTCATTGGCACTAGCCTACAAAAAAATGTTGATCATTCATAATTATCTTCACCATTATACTAGTTCTACACCCCAAACAAATGAAAGTTAGTTTAAAATAATTCTGCAGAAATGACAAAATATTAATCAAACCTGGTTTTGCAGCTTCTCTTCATAGGTCTGTTCCCAAGTGTTGCCCATCAGGTTTGTGTTGAAATTTTCTTCTGAAAACTGTGTACAGTTAGAGGACCAAAAACCAGAAGAGGACAATGGACAGGCACTAAAACCTCTTTCTGTGTTGTTTTCGTGTTCCATACTAGAGTCAGCATACATTAATTCTGTTACTTGTGATAACTGGACAAAACATCGCAAAAAGACATTTTATTTATCTAAAACTGTTTTGATGTAAGCATAAAGTTCAAAGTAACAAAATCTTTCTATATCTTTTACATCTCTGCACATATACCACATGCAAGAGAAAATTTTCATGTATTCTGATATGATTTTTTTCACGAAAAACATAAGGTAATAAGGGCTTATTTCAGGGAAACACATAAGTACCTACTTAAGTTGACGCATGCACACAAATGTTATCCTGATGGGTATAAATACATTTTTAGCTTTAGACGTGTAGGTAAAAGATCTGCTGAATTGGTTCTTAAGTAGTAAAATGAAAAATATTTTACTCCATCGAGGAGAGAACTCCAGCATGTTGTGATACCAACAATGCTCTCTGAAGCAGATCAAAACACAAGAAGAAATTTGAAGGCAAAACTCATAAAATGTCACTGCTACATGGAAGTAATGCCTGTAATGCCGCTTATCCAGTGAAATCAGCACAAACTACCCATGGAGTACAAAAGCCTTGTACATTAATTGCAAAAAATCTTTGTACCACAAAACTGTACATTTCCAGAAAGCTGAAAATTATTAACTTTATAGTCCCTTTTTCTGCTTAATAAAGTAGATATACCTTAATTACTTAAATTGGATATACTTCAACTTATGAAGATTTTAAAAACACTTTTTGCAACACACAGGCCTTAGACTTTATTTTTTGATCCATATATTAAATTAGCTTCCTGGGTGTGCACACTGCATTATCACATGTTTTGATGAACTGACCTAAATCTATCCCTACAAGTGGAGATTGAGAAGAAATTTAGCTATCATTTTGATCAGTTATTCCTGGCCATGCTAAATCTGAAATATGTCCTGTCTTCAAGAAACAGATGAAAAAGAGTCATAAAGGAAGTCTGACTTAATGTGACAGCCAAAAAAGTAGTGGCAGCTCACAGTGATCCTGGCTGAAACACATTAGACAGCTAAACTTTTCACCCATACTGAAAGTAATTCTTTCTGACTCCAAAGAAAGGAACTTCTAAAACAGAAGGCACATCTGCCTTTCTCACTCTAGCAAAACATGCTTTGGCAACATGAACGGGCCAAGAACATACAGAACAATACCGTGCAAGCATCCTTTGCATCCATCTTTTCCTCAGAGTCCTATCTGGTATGAATAGCAGGAGTCAGTAGAGCTACATTATCAAGCAAGTCTGAGTAACCTAAATTAAGTGTCTTCTTACAAATTTACTAACTTGGTTGGTTTTTTTTGTTTGGTTGGTTTTTTACACAACACTGGAATGGGTCATAAAAAAGCACCTAAATTCCATCTAGAGAATGTTTTTCACTGTAACCTCAATACGTGTATGAACTTCCCAATTGTATCCACTGAGACTTGTACTTAAGTTCCTCTTAAAGACTCACTGCTGTCTATGCTTCTCACATTCATCATTTCATATTTCTGCATATTGTTTTTAATTTACCTGCTGTTGGCCTCAGTCTCTTTCCCATAATCTCTGTCCTTCGTGATTACCTTAGGGCACAGATATTCTTAAGTATTTTGGAAAATGCCTAAAACAAGGTGAGCCTTTCAAGAAATAGGACTGGCAAGCAACATACCAGTCCAGCCTTAAAGAGGAAGACCACATGTTTCAGTATCCATGAGATTTGGTCACTCTTTGAAAATAAAAATACAGTAATTGCTGCACATTTTTGGCTTTACATCAGTGAGAACAACAAACGTACTTACATTATGCTGATATTTTACTTTCTCTGAGAGATGTTGCCTTCTGCTGTCTAATACTTGCTTTTGTAACCTTGTAAAAATGAATAAAAGCAGCCTATGAAGATATAAGTTCTATAAGATTAAAAGCATTCTGAGTATTAATTCCAAACTGATTGAACAATATTTTTCCATGCATCTTAAAAAGGCTGGATTCTTAAGCAGTTATGAGCTGCCAGTGTGTGAGTCAGTCACTTTAGGGTGTCTGAAGTTGGATGGGAAAACAGTGTAAGTGGAAAATGCTGTTTGAATAGCCTGCTCTGTGAGATGAACTTAGTGTATGTACCTGACTTGAGCAAAGAAACATTTTTTTTTTTAAATCTCTCAGCTTCATGTACAGTTTTTTATTTTGAATACATTTATTTACTCTCTCATAGTAAGAGTATCACTGGAATGCAAGGAGTGATTGTGAAACTTCATCTTAGAATGGTGTATTTATGTTTATTTCATACCCCAAATATAAGACCTTCATGAAATACCTTTTCCAGAACTTCATTATAGCTTAACTACTGCCTACTTGATACAAGTACCTGTGCTGGATGTCATCTAAGTTTGACGTATACTGTGTACGTAGCGGTGACATGGGAAGCTCTATGTTGTGCCTCCTAACAGGTATTTTTACATCTTCACTGATATCAACGTGGACTGGCTTCCTCACATTCTCTGCAATGAAAGTATTTGGAATGTCAGCACTGGGCTTGGAGAAAGTTTTGAGCTTCCTGAATTTTTATCAGAGTACAAAAGCTGTTGTTTTAGCTTTCTTAATCCATTTGAAGCCATATTTTTTGCTTTCTTTGTTACTAGCAATGCAAGAGCTCTATTCTAAATGGCATTGTAGAATAAAATTATTTACGGTCAGCTGCTGTGTGTAGACTGGCTCTGTTGCCCTCCTCAGTCACCTTCTAATCTTTCTGAGCACAGGACAACAAATCCTCTACAATCTGGTTTATGAATATGTCACAGAGGATAAGAGTTAGGACTCAAGTTGTAGAGATGTTTTTTAGGAGCTTAATGATGGATTTTAAGAAAGATACTCTGGGTAGAACTGACAGACTACTCCAAATGCCCCCCAAAAGTTCTGAAAAAGGAAGTGGAATATAAATGGACCTATTCAATGGCAAAGGGAAAAAGAAATGGATGTAGGGTAAAATTAATGGATGGAATGAGGAAGGTGCTTTAAAGGTGAAGTAGGCAGTAGCCAAGGTTATTTGACTCCTCTTATGTCCTGACTTTTTAGTCAATCATAATTTTTGTATTTACTTACAGATTTTTATTTAAAAAATAAAAAAACCACTTATTTGAGCACTAAGTTGTAAATGGAAGAAAAGAACTAAAATAATAGCAGTAATAGTTAAGGATAACTGATTCTGTTAACTGTGAAGCCAGAACGCTGTTACTCTAAGCTCACCGGTGTTGTCTTTTTTGGTTGATATCTGGTTAACAACATATAGATTGAGGAGATCTAAACTGACTGCTGAACTTTTAGGAGATGATACTCCCAGAAGCTTCATCTTTGATTTAAGTTTCTTCTTTTCAAAGAATTCCTAAATTTTTTAAAGAGAGAGTAAGTTTTGGACAGAAGCTTCAACAACACGTTAGCAGCATATATAATTCTTAGAAAACAATTCCTAATAATAAAAGCACATGATTAAATCTCTCTGAATTCTCACACCTCGCCTACTGTTATTTAGTTTATTTTTACTGCCTTGAAAAAGACTGCAAGTATGATTTGGTCATATTCAAAATAAATCACTGTTCTCTTGATGCCACAAACTTAGTCCCTAAACAGTCATGCCTCAAACTTTGTGTATGATCATTAAAAATATTTCTTTAAAATAAAAGATATACCAAAATGCTGCAAGGAAAGTGTTAAAAAAAATTAAATTTGGGCTTTTTAGGCAGCTTATAAGCTAGCAGGCAAATGAATCAGCAAGATTACATACACACGGCCATCTATAATGACACAAAGAGTTTATTGTTCTCCAAATTTGTCTGTCTTGACATAGAAAATAGTCTTGTGACAAAAAACAAAAGAAAAAAAATAAAGAAGAAAAATCTCTAGGACCGGGACTTCGAAAAGCTTTTTGTCTCAAGGAACAAAAAGAGATGAATAACACTTTGAATATATTAGGCAGATAATTCTGGAAAATTTAGGAAACAAAAATATCCATTTTGTAGGAGACTATAAATAATCATCCTAAAATCATTAGCATCAAGCACAGAAGATGAATAAATAAAACCAGTAAGATTTCTTTATTTTAACCACAAGAAGGATATTGAAAACTGAAGGCTATGCCAAAACACAAAATAGCATAGACTTTTCTTCTGAAATGTAATTCCTCTCGTGATTGCAGGTTACATGTAACTAATATACCCAACATGTTCATTGGTAACAGTTTTCCAGTATAATTTATTATATCACTATCTTTAGCTTTCTAGGATGTTATCAACTACGGAAAATACCTGTTCTTCGATTAAGAAGAATATCTGCAGTAAGGTAAATTCAGCTTGTTTACAAATCAACACTTCAAAATTCATACTGCTTTGGAGTCCACACCCCCAAAATATATCCATGTCCCTTCAGTGTCCCAGATATTTTCTTCCCATCATCTCTAAATTACTAAATTACTATTAATTGTGTAATAGCAATTACAAAATTACCACTGCGTTTAGTAATTCAGTAATTTAGTACTCAGTTACTAAAAACAATCCTGTCTTGGATCCTTTCCTGTTTTCTGTCCTCCACTGAAGCAATTTACATAGTTGTAACACAAATTATGTGGCTTAGACCAATAAATTCCTGAGAAAACAGGTATTTTGAGAACGCACAGGTCTCCAGGAGACTGGGAAAGCGATGGGGGCAACAAACTGCTGGTTTCTCCCACATTCCCTTAGGTAAATTTTTTCATTTCAGAGATTGTCTCCATACTGTCAGCCTGTCTTCCTTCTCCTGTATATGCCAGTGAATCTGCTCTGCGCATTGTGGGGCTAACAGCTTCAGTGGTAGAACTTTCCTACACTGTGTCTTTTTTTCCCAGCTGCTGAGCAGGAAACTGGCTTCTCTTACTATGGTTATAACCATCTTCTCTTACTGTTTTCTTTCTCTTTCCTGTTTGAAATGTCTTCTGCTATGCCAGGGATAAATTTAATTCCATTATTTCACTTTCAGATTCAAAATACAAATAAGGTGGCCTACTTTTGCAAACACCAGCATAAAGTACTTCAATCAGCCTAACATTCTTTTATGTAGCCCAGAAAAATAGCTGTGTATATGTGTGTTAGGCTAGCTGACCACGTGGTTGTCACTGTGAGGCTCCAAGCAATCCCATGTGTCAGCACATACCAACAAAATATAGTAACAGAAATAATTCAGTAAAACTTGAATTGGGCACATTCATTCATTCATTCATGCTTTCTCCTACTCCCTCCTCTTCCTGCTGGAATTCAGTGTAGTAAACCTAGAACAAGACTTCTGTCCTAGAAGTTACATGCAGTCAGGCAAGTGGATTACAACTGTTTTGCTAGTTTTGAGTCTCACTCCAAATGCTTTGAAAACTTTTCCTAAGTGAATCAGCTAAAGCATGTATATAACAATATAAAATCCAAGGTGGCTAGAACTGTTTACCTTTTGCTTTCTCCTTTCCTGCTTTAATATGATTCTGCTCCTGAAAGATGCAAATAATTATTGTTTTAATTGTAGAAGTATAATCTTGAGTCATGGCTTGAATTTCTCGTCAATGGTATTGAGAATTTAGGACATGTTATGTTGCGTTATGTTACGTTACAATGGATCAAACCTTCAGGTAGTAAAGTCAATGTATCTCTGTTGAAGCCACTTTGACTGATCCTGGTTTACTCAGGTAAGGATAGGACCACATTCTATCTTGGGGCTACCAAATACATTGAACATTCAGAAGGAAAGCTTTTAGGCATTTGACCTGTAATGCAACTTTTCATCAATTCATAATTTCTTAAAGCATTATAAGAAATCTTTGTCAATATATTAATTTCTCCTAATGTTCTTTGTCATGCTGCAACATATTAGCAAAGAAAACAAAGGAGCACGGTACAAGTTTCCACCTTTCGGGACTTTACACAATTATTGTGAACATTTTGTAAAAAAGGTAAGGAAAATAGATTGTCATTACAAGTTTTATCGAGCTGCTGTTGCTTGTGCAATACAGAAGGCAGTTATACCTTAAACTACAGATCTAACTTATTAAACATAGTCTTAAATGAATTGCCTACAGCACATGGTGCATAAAATTGGAGCTCTGGGTCACTGCTGTGAGCAGGGTGCACATAGCTGCAGTCCTTGGGTCAGTAAGATTAGGACTCTTTTTTGAGAGTCAGAAATACAGAGTATCCCCTTGGCATTACTTTTTTTTACATTACTGCTTAAACTTATAACACACTTTCTAAACATATGCATGTAACATTTACCCTTGCAGTGGGTAGAAGCCCCAGTAATGGATAGTTTTTCTGACAGATAATTAACAGCAGCAGAAAGCAGCAGGATGATTTGCTATTTGCTAAGTGAGTGCAATACTCCTACATGCTGCTTTTTCTTACAGACAGGATAGTATCATAGACAGGCATTTTAGGACAAAGTCAGGGTTGGTTTTTTTTCTTCAGACTGAAGCTCTCCCTTCCCCCTGCTTTACACAGGCAACGTTCAGAAACCTCATTTTTCTGGGAAGACTTCCAGATGGGTAAGGCATTATTTTAGTTTGATTCTGCAAAGAGTCAGGATGATTATAAAGCTGTGTTTAGCAAAGCTACTTTCAAATGGCTGACAAAATCTGTGGGGTTTAAATTTCTAGTAGATAGGCAGATGGCACAGCACCTAAAGAAACTTGAGTAATATCCTTTTTTTTTAACGTTACAATTCAGTTGGTCATTATTTTACTATTTCAGTGAATCTCAATAACTATACATCTTTTTCCCCAAATGGTAATCACTGCCATTCATGAGGGCGTGAGGAAAGGCCCAGGCGGGAGAGCCTCACCCAGCCCCAGTGTGTGGAGAGATGTTAGGCCCAAACATGACACCCTGCCCAGCATGGGCGGGCATCTGCACCTCCTCACAGTCTGGGTCAGGAGCAGACA